CAATGAGGAAATAAGAAAAAAAGTTTTTTGAATGAATGAAAATAATAGCAAAAATATAAAAACTCATCAGATGTAGCACAAACAGTACTGAAAGAATTATTGATCTTCTATTTGCACGAAGGTTGTCTTCGTCAGAATATATCATACTTGTCCTTTGGGGATTGATTTGTTTCACAGGGCATAATGGTCTCTAGTTCGGACCATCTGTTTGCAAATAGTAAAACTTGATTCTTTTTCGTGGTTGAGTAGTCCTTCATGGAATAGATGTACCACAGTTTCTTTATCCATTGCTCTTTGGATGGGCATCTGAATTGTTTCCATGTCTTTGCTATTGTAGATTGTGCTGCTGTAAATACAGGATTACAGATCCCTTCCTCATATGCAGAATTCATTTCCTTTGGATATATTCCAAAAAGCAAGATAACTGAGCCATATATCAGGTTAATTTTCAGTTCTTATAGGAGTCTCCATACTGACTTCCACAGTGGTTGTACTAGCCTAAACTCCCACCAAAGGTGGGGAGGGTACCTTTTCTCCCCACAAACATGCCAGCAGGTATTGTTAGTAGAGTTCTGAATGTAAGCCAACCTCACTGGAGTTAGGTGGAACCTCAATGTGGTTTTCACTTGTATTTCCCTGACAGCTGGGGAGCCTAAGCTTTCTTTCATGTCTGTTAGCCATGTGAATCTGTGCTTTTGAAAGATGTTCATTTCCTTTACGCATTTCTTCACAGGGTCATTTGTTTTGCTGTCACTGGTTTCTGAAGCTCTTTATAAATCCTGGATATTAGTCCTCTATCAGTTGTGTAGTATGCAAAGATTTTCTCCCATTCTGTTGGTTGCTTCTTCACTTTGTTGATCATTTCCTTTACTGTGCAGAAGCTTCTTAGTTTGATGTAGGTTAACACAGTTGCTTCTTTTATTATACTATTTGTAAAACCTGTGCAATGCTTTCCATTGAGAAATACATGTTCATATTTTTCAACTTCTTTGGGATTTATTTTGGAAAACATTTTGGTAGTAAGCTGTTTCTTTTCATTTTTCTACCTCACTGTCAGAAAACTGAACACCATTATTATAGGCACCAACTTTTCTACTTGAAAAGGTATTCTAGGGCCCGGCGCAGTGGCACAGTGGTTAAAGGTCCTCGCCTTGCATGCCCGGGATCCCATATGGGCGCCGGTTCTATCCCAGCAGCCCCGCTTCCCTTCCAGCTCCCTGCCTGTGGCCCGGGAAAGCAGCAGAGGACGGCCCAAAGCTTTGGGAACCTGCACCCGCGTGGGAGACCCGGAAGAGGCTCCTGGCTTCGGATCGGCATAGCATCGACTGTTGCGCTCACTTGGGGAGTGAATCATCAGACGGAAGATCTTCCTCTCTGTCTCTCCTCTCTGTATATCCGCCTTTCCAATAAAAAAATAATAATAAAAAAAAGAAAAGGTATTCTATCTGCAGATGGCTGTTGCTTCTTTTCTGAATTGTTTTTTTTTTTTCAGTACTGAGGTGCTATAAATGGACAAACTAGCAAATTCTCATCTTTCTGCTTAGTCAGCTTAAGGTAGAAGTCCCTAGGCAATAGCTTCACAGTGAGATCAACTGGCTTTTCAACTACAGATGCAGAACCAATGTGACCCCGCTCAATCCCCACTTGGAGGTACACTAAAGCAACCGTGTGGGGAGTCTCTCTCATATAGCAAATATCTGGACAGAAATCTTCACAAGCATATCCATTGCATACCACAAGCTTTGTGTGGTTCCTCCACAGAGACTAAAAGCCTACACTGGATGTCTTTCCTGGGCATTTCCAGTTAACTCATAGAATCAGTCAGGCATTTCTTTCCCCATTCTGTGTATTCCACAGCATCACTGAGACAGAAAGGCATCCAGGACACACTATTTTGATTTCATCAACATTTATAATAGTTTGCTTTTATATGTATACAGACATACATACATAAATATTAACATATAATTAATATTACTATAAAACAACACAGGATCTGACACTGTAGCATGTTGGGTTAAGCCACTGCTTATAATGCTAGCATCCCATATGGGGACATGCTTACATCCCAGCTGCTCCACTTCTGACCCAGCTTCTTGTTATTGTACCTGGGAAAGCAGTGGAATATGTGCTTAGTGCCTGCATCCACATGGCAGACTAGAAGAAGCTTCTGGCTCCTGGCTTTGCCCTTGTCCAGCACTGGTTGCTGTGGCAATTTGAAAAGTGAACAAGAAGACTGAGGAAATCCCCATACCCATCATTCGCTCTATAACTCTTCATTTAAAAATAAAAACAACCAAAATGCACCATAATGGGTAAAATTCAAATAAATAACACTGCACACTTTTAGATACATGACACCATCATATACATAATGGAAAAATACCTATTATATATTGTCAAAGAATTAGCCAGATACATGTGGATCCATGCTGACCATTTCCTGTCTGGTTCTATACTTTCCTTGTATTTCTCTATCTGTTCTAATTTTTTGTGGGGTGGGGGGGCATGGAGCAACCAGACAGGAAATGGTCAGTGTAGATCCACATATACCTTACTAGATAGGACACAAAGATTAGTACGCCTCACTAAGGTATTGAAGATTTCTCTGCACTCCCCTCCTAAAACTGTTCTGCACCTCATCTGTTGACTAATGCCTTGTTAGAGTTATAAGCCAGTTTAAACTATCCTAAAATCTGCCAAGTTCAGCAAAATTATGCCTCAACACTATAAACTGCTAAATACTAAAATGAAAATAGACACAAGACAGCTGAATAGTACCCTATAGCCACTTTAAGGTGTATAGCAGCCAGTTCTGTGTATAAACAAAAAATGAAATGTCAATGAAGTAGTCACAGGATGTGGTTAAGAACTTGCATGGTTTTAACATATTGATTATTCAATACCATGTCAATTAATTCCATAATGTTGTAAACTGTTGTTGATGTTGTGCTGGGGCTTTCAATTGATTGGGATGATATTCTGCCAGCTCTACCTTTAGACCAGAGATGGTCTCCCCAAGAAACTGTTGAATTTATCTGGACAATAAGATGCTGGACTCTATGCTTGGTATATGTTTGCAAAGAAAGAATCTGGACTTAATTTGATCTGTAATACTACAACAAGGTGGAGGAATCCACCACAGGGGGTGGGGGAGCACGGGGAAGGGTTGGGGGAATCCCAAAGCCTAGGAAACAGTGCCAATAATGCTACGTAACAAAAAAAAAAAAAAAGAAAGAAAGAAAGAAATAGCCAGACAGAAAGCTACACTGAACATACAAATGTAAATACATTTTTATTTACATAGTAAAAAGATCCTGAAGAAAATTCAACAAAATATTGATATTTTACAACTAGATTTCTTACTCCTACACATTTTTCTGTGTTCTTTGAAAAAATATAAACTGTTTCCAAAAATCAGAACAAATCATATGGCATTAGAAGCCTAAAAGAATTTTAAATGGCCATAGCTGACCAAACCCTGTTATAATTATTCATCTAAATGACATGTTTTCTTATTTCTATAGTGTCTATGAAATAAATTATGAACAGTTTGAAAAACTCATGTTTATAGTTAGAATGATTGATGCTATTTGCTTCACTTGATGCAAAAGTCTGAACCATGAACATTTATGCAGATACCACATAGTTGGCCATCTCTAATACCTATGAACATATGAGTTTTGTGAAAAATATCTAAAGTTTAATAAATATTTGTGATTATTTGCCAGTCCAATGAGTTACAGAATACCATTTTAAGGTCAATAAAACTCAACTAATCATATAGAAAATTGATCTTCTTAAAAGGAAATGATAGATTTTAATAAAACTTGAGGAAATTTTACCTAGTTTACATTTTTATGGAAAAAATAAAACTGGAATCTAATCCAAAATGTTTAAAAAAAAACAGAGGTATGGTATTACAGATCTCCTAAGCCAAATCTGATCTTGCTTTGATATGTTATACATAGAAATGTTATCCTTTTCTCACTAATTAGCACTGCTATCATATATCCAGACTGAAATCAAATAAAACAGAAAGATTAAATCCCTAGAGTTCTCACTAGTGAAAAATACATTTTTAAAAAATGAGCTCTACATAGTATGCTGAAGGTGTGTATACCAAATGATGATAACTAAGCTTGGAAACACACATCAAAGGTATGCCTTTTTTAATTGGAGCTTACAAGTTTGCCTAAAATGTAACTCAGCAGTTGAACACCATGTCTATCATCACACTCAAGTTCCACAATCTTCACTCTTTTAAATATAGAAATATGTAACTATAATAAATGATTCATTGGAGTTGAGAAAAATCTGTGGGTGAAAGGGTATGTACAAAAGTGTCTGTGGGGCCTGGGGGCGTGGCCTAGCGGCTAAAGTCCTCGCCTTGAACGCACTAGGATCCCATATGGGAGCCAGTTCTGATCCCAGTAGCTCCACTTCCCATCCAGCTCCCTGCTTGTGGCCTGGGAAAGCAGTGGAAGACGGCCCAAAGCCTTGGGACCCTGCACCCATGTGGGATACCCAGAAGAAGTTCCTGGATCCTGGCTTGGATCGGCATAGCACCGGTCGTTAGCTCACTTGGGGAGTGAATCATTGGACAGAAGATCTTCCTCTCTGTCTCTGCTCCTGTCTGTATATCCGACTTTCCAATAAATAAATAAATCTTTTTTTTAAAAAAGTGTCTGTGAGAAAGATCCGAATATGCTTTATCTCTGTAAGGTTATATTCAGCATCACAAGTCTGTAACAAAAGTACTGCTAACATCTAACAAAACAGAGAGGAGCTGGATGTAGAAGAACTACAGGACAAGTGCAATGCCAGGGCAGGTTACACCGGTTGTGGAAACTTATCTCACCAGAAAGGAATGAATGGAAGTTAACTGGGAACTGAAAAATTCCTGTACCATGTAAAAATCATTTGTTTATTTCTAGTCTCAAAGGAAATGTGATACTGATACCATTACAGCGAACCCAAACTGATCTTTCACTACTTACCTTGGAAGATCGGAATGTAAATGCTGTTGATTTTACATCAGCTTTTTCTTTGTCCATGAGGAGAAGATTTTTGTCTTCCATGAGACTCAGATATTTTCCTGTTGTGACATGGCGAAGTCGGAATGGCTGGCCCCATCTTATGTGGCTTCCACTCCACCTAAAAAAGAAATTAAAAAGAAAAAATAATTGGACTTAATTTAACAACAAGCACACTCTTTTTATCATATTACATCTATTTTTGATGATGTTTACATTGGTAACAAAGATATATGCTCACGTTGACCACTGATTAGGGTGGGAAGGGTCAAGGAAATGGGGGAAAGTAGTGGAAACAATTGTTTTCTTTTATTTATTTATTTATTTTTGTGTTCCTGTATCTGGAAAAGAGGGAAAAGAAAGGGAGAGAGCTGCTCCCAGCGCCTAACCACATCAGTACTCAGGGATGGGGGATGGCTACTCGATGTCATCACAGGGTTCCTGATGTACTGAAGTACTGATGAAGTGATTTTGCTACTTCTGAGATGTTGAGTTCGTTGCTCCAAGGTTGTAGAAATCCTTCCAAACTCCATTAGCTAACATAGTTCACCTTACAGTCTCCACTCACATACTTGCTATCAAAGCTGAACTGGGAGAGTTGCCCAATTTGTTCTGCCCTCCATGATACTAGATATTCTCTGCAGCCTTAATGATCTGTTGTGTCTTCCCATATGCATCTGGGATGTTATACAGTCTTCAGCAACTGAGGAGTCCCAGTTTTGACACATGCACTTTACAATCAGACCACAGATTCTGTGATTTTCCCCATGAGTTTTAAATTCAGCTGTCCAGTTGGGGAAACTCCCCAAAGAAACCTTATCTGAATTGACCCCAGACCTGACTCCTGTGTGTACCAGCCAGTGCAGGTTTCCACTCAGTCCATCACCAATATTAGCCTACACACGAACTGGTTGTTGCAGTGGCCTAGTCAAAACAACATGCATACTCTTAGAAGTAAGAATTAAATGTCTGAGCCAGGCAAAGAACATGGTGTTTTGGACACATTGTTTTATTTGATGGTATCAAAAACCATATCATATTGGTGATATAAACTTCACTGAACAATCTGAAAAACGATAATTCAGAATAATTCAATAATACCTCATGTGACTCAATCAAAGATAAACAGAACTGAATCAAACTCAAGGTCTTCTCATTTTAAATGCAATACTATTCACACTACAGACTAATCTATGTAAAGATAACTAGGACATTCTGTCTCAAGTCAATTTGTAATCATTATTTACAGATATAAAAAGTTCAACTTGAAACAGTAATTTAGAACTTACTAGTTAAAAACTTTGGGTATATTTATAGAGATTTAAATAGTAATATGGTAAATGACTAATACAACTAACTAGGTGCATGTATGTAACTGAAGTATATATTTAAAACATACCGACTTCTCAAAAGAAATTTATCCCTGTGTTTTAAATTGTAGACCAATGATACTATTAAAAACCTATAAACAAAAAAAAATTTTAACGGTCAACAGGAAAAAAATGCATTATATTATGCAATATGGTTGCCAAGAAAGGATAAAAATTGAAGCTATGATCATTAAAAATCTGCTCTTCAGAATGACTTTCAGAAAAGAAAAATCAAACAGGCTGTTCTTGGGTTGCACAGAGTTCTTTGTCAAATGGGAGTATTGCATACAGAAACTGTGTTCTCAAATAAAGTGCAATGACGGCAATTCCAGTAGGCATGGCCTGCTGCTTTAACGGAACTCTGCAATGTTAGTTTGCATGCTTAAAATCAAATCATTCAGAAAGAAATAAGAACCCATAGGTGGGAAATTTGCCATGAAAATTGATTTAAAAGGACAATAGTGATGTCAAATTTTATATTAAAAAAATAGTCAAGGAAAAGGAGCATTTTTTCAGAGAAAAATGCTTGCATTCTAAAAAGAGCACATATTGTAAAGTTTCCCATGTTAACAGCAATCAGAAAATAAAACAAACAGTATAACTTCTAAATACATAGTGGAAGATTTTTATCCAAAAGTAATAAATCAAACTATGTTCTTACTATTTGCCAAATTTACTTTATTATCAATTAACTTGTATTTTTTGTAGTCTATAAACCAAGAAAACTTAAATACTGGTCTTAAGAAACAATAAATCATTTCAGTATTGTTTGCCTTAGATTTTAATATGATACCAGAATTAGAATTTTATCATAATTAAGTTCACGTTACAAGTCTTTAATTATATATTCAATTAAATGGAGGCTGGCATCCCATGTGGGGTTTATTCTACTTTCGATCCAGCTTCCTGTTAATGTCCTGGGAAAGCACTGGAGGAAGACCAAATCCTTGGATCCCTGTGTTTACACAGAGATCACAAAACAAGCCCTGGGCTCCCAGATTTGGATTGACCTAACTTTGGCCACTGAGGCAATATGGATAGTGAATGAGCAGATGGAATATCTTTCTGTCTTTCCTTCTCTAATTCTGAAAGCACAATTTAATGGAAAATTCTACAACTAAATTAATGAAAAATATGGTAAACCCTGATAATAACATATTAATATTAAAACAAATGTCTGCTAACAACAGCATGTCAATGCCACTTAGGTTTTGTAAAAAACAAGGTTTTCAAAATTCTCCTATGATAAATATATTATTAGTAAACAACCATGACACGCAATTAATATTAATTTCCTTTATATAAGGAAGGAACTATTTACCTATTTTTCCAAATGGTGAGTCACCTTGTTTGTCTAAATTTACTTGAAATTATTTCAAATGGAATGGTGGATACTGGGTCATTCTTTGTGGTATATGTGTTAACCTTCAATTTTGTAGATATGTTATTCAAAGAAGCAGAATTTAAATGACATAGAATATAATGAAGCTCCTATTGCAGGAACTACAAGATAACCCATTTTTAGTATTCTTATAACTTCTCACTGGAATTAAGTAGGAAAAGTATTTTCTAATAAATGTAACTCTACATTAAAACTATCAATTGAAATACATCTAAAAATATGCCCAGAATTCATTTTCTTAAACCCACAGTCATGAAAGACAGGCATATTTATGCATCTTAAAACACAATCTGTTTTATAAAAGCAACAAAAGTAAATTTCATTAAATGATACAATATCGAAAAGTTTGTTACTGAAGCATTTCAGTTTTCATATTTTTGGATTAGATATAAAACTGGGCATGTTTTCTCAAACACTTAAAAAATCTTGAAAGCATTGGTATTTTGGTTCTAAGTGTTACAGATAAGGCTTAATCAACTCATATTTATAATACACTGAAAACTATAGTCTATCCATCTTTTTAAAATGATATCTGTCAACTTGATAATAAGGAAGTACAAATCTTTCCAAATTATTTTCACAGAATATGTTAGCAAAACCAACAAGGGCACTATTTTACTCATTACAGCGGCAATCATCTTGACTAAAAGTCTAAAAATACAGCTATTCCAGGAGGACAGCTTCCCTCTTCAACCCATGGAGCCTACAATCCTAAATCAATGTCTTCAAAGTATAAGAAAATAGGGGAAAAAAACACATTGAAAATACTGCTTTTTAGATAATTACCAATAAGAAAAATAACCTGACAGAAATTTTAATTATGTTTAAAATAGTTCAAAATAATAATGTTAGAAAAAATTCTGCATTTCTCCAAAGAAATTAGAAGGCAATCTCTACAGTTCATGTATTTCACCAAAAAAAAAAAAAAATGCAAGCATATACAGTGCTATGGTCTTTTGTTATAATGAACATGCAGTATCTCTTATTAAAGTTTATATGTCTTATTCCATTATCAAAGTATTTGTAGGTGAAGACAGTGAATGCCATTAATGATTTCTTGTCCTATCCTTTATATTCAAGTTCCATTTTAAACTCACCATTACAACATTAAACTCTGAAATGTGAAATGTGTGACAAGCTTTTAAATATTTGTCCTGTTTATAAACCTTACATCACCATGTTCTCACAGCACTCTTCACCAAGTTCTGTATGATACTGAATATAACGATAGTACAAAAACAGAAGAGGCTATCGGCATAAGCAAACTGCACAACACTGCTGCATGTTTCTCGGATTTACCACCTGGTGATCCAAGATAAATCTAAGCAGGGGAGACGAAAAGGGAAAAAAAACTATGACTATCAAATGTTCATTTGTTTGTCCTAGTTGTTAACATGGTCATCTCACACGGAAGCAAAGGTCATGATCCCTCTGCCACAGGTATGTGTACACAGAAGCAGCAGGTTGTATTTAGAAGTTGTACTTACGCAACCCTGAGAGTCTCTAGTCTCCAAAGCGACCTTGCGTGAACAGATACGGCACCACCTTCATAATGAACAGTTCTGTTCAAACAAAACAGGCCAGTTTTGAGATTAATCTGTTTCATTCTCAAGACTTATTTCAAGCTATGCAAAAGACAAAAATCAATAGGAAAACCTCTGGATAAATAAATCAAAACTTTTTGGCAGGAAACATTATAGCTCAAAATAACCAAAATAGTACTAACAATAAGCTTAAGTACATCATGAATAAAACTTGGTTTAAGCCTATCCTCTTCTTATCATTTTCTCCCTCTAATCCCATTCATTCTCCCTATGTCTGTCTCTCCTCATCTCCTCCCTACCAAAGAATTGATTTCAGCCTTACTCACCTAACTTAGGTCTGTGAAAGTAGTTATCAACTTTAAGCATAATAAAATACATTATTAATTCAAAACAGATAAAATTATCTGTGGCTCTAAATTTTGCTTTAGATATTTATAACATACTAAAGAAACACAAGAACAGTTCTTAAGTACAGTAATTTGTAGTTTAAAATCTACAACATATCAAAACATAAACATCAACACAAAAGTCATAAAAGAGGAATTTCTTTGGATATATACTAAATACGCCAAATTTTAAATTTTTCACACTAGAACTTATTATAAATTTCTAGAGATCACACAAATTTATTCCAACGATTTGAGAATGTTTTAAGTAAACTGAAGCATATACACATGTTCTGTTTCTTTCCAGAGTATTCACTGTTTCTTGGTGGATCCATCTTAGCACTTGAACACACACAAGTTTGTCCTGCCTTCTTTCCCTTTTTCTAACTCACTATCACTACCCATCACTTCTCACAGCACTTAAACTGTGCTTCCAGATCCACTTCTACATTGAAACACATTTTGTTATGGCCATCAAATGACCTTCCTGTTACCAAATCAAATGTCAAATGACATACTTTTTTTTTTAATATTGTGTAAACTGTCTTGATAGATTTCTGATACCACTTTCATCTTCCTTTTCTCCTATTACTTAGATGTTTCTTCTTATTGTAACTATTTTTACTATAGAACTTTCCAAATATACACAAAAGCAGAATATTAAAAGCAAGCTCCAAATAGCCAACATCATACATGTCGATCAACGTAGGAACATACAACCCCACCACTTGGGACGGCCACATTCAATGCCAGAGTTTCTGGTTCAAACACAAACTTCGGAGCTCCTCATCCAGCTCCATTTTTAAGGTGCCTGTGAGATGATATTCCCAAGTGTTCAGGTTCCTGCCACCTACATGAAAAACCCCAGATGGAGTTCTAGACTCCTGACCTTGGCTTGGTCCAGCCCCAGCTATTGCAGATATATCTGGGGAGTAAAGCAGGGGATAGAACATATCTCTTTGAGCCTCTCTTGCTTTCCCTCTCTGTCATTATCCTTTTCAACTAAACAATTATCTTTTTAAAACATGGTACAGGAATGTAAATGATACACTTTTACTGCACAATAAATCCTTTATAAGTCTTTTATAAAAATGAATATTGGAAGAAATGTACTTAAATATGAAGAATGTTCTTGAACAATAAATTATTAATTACAAAAGAGAAATCATAGAAAATTTAAGTCTAAAAATAAAACGTGGGGCTTGTGTTGTGACAAAGTTGAAGCTGCTGCCTGCAACATGGGCATCCAAATAAGAGTGTCAGTTCAAAGTGCAATTTCCTATCCAGATCCCTATGCATGCTTTAGGAAATCAGCAGATCACTGAAGTCTTGGAGTCCCCTGTGCCTAGGGGAAATTTGAATGGAGTTCCAAGCTCCTGGTTCAGCTCTGGCTGGTGCAGCTCTTTAAGGAATGAATCCACAAATGGAAGATCTCTCTCTCTCTCTCTCTCTCTCTCTCTCTCTCTCCTTATAACCCAGCATTTCCACTACAGGCTTTAAAAGAAACAGCTTTTCGGCCCAAAGCTTTGGGACCCTGCACCCACATGGGAGACCCGGAAGAGTCCTGGCTTCAGATCGAAATAGCATCGGCCGTTGCGCTCACTTGGGGAGTGAATCATTGGATGGAAGATCTTCCTCTCTGTCTCTCCTCTCTGTATATCTGCCTTTCCAATAAAAATTTAAAAAAATAAATCTTTTAAAAAAAAAACAGCTTTTATGATAAATATCATGAATATATAGATCTTTATATATTTATAATTCAGTATATGAAGAATTATTTAAATAGTTTATTCTTTCATGACATGTATCTTTTGAATTGTTTTGGCTCTTACATTATAATTGTCATAAATATATTTGTAGATTTTAACATATTTGTATTTTAATATATGAAAAATTATCATTCAGATATTTTTCTTTCATAACGTAGTTTTTAAAATGTGTTTTTAGTTAAAATTTTAAAACCCAAATGTAAAGTCAGTAAGAAAGTTGGCCCCTCCTTCCTAACTAAAACATTTTTAGCTTTATCCTGAATAGGTTTTTGTTTTGGATTTTTTTCTTTCACTATTTTTCAATGTTTCATTGCAAGATGCAGCATCTAATGACTTGTTTCAATTAGTTGGTGATGATTCCAACATCTACACTATTATTTTGAGGTTCTCCCAAATAAATACATAGCATATACAGTATGTCAATGGCTACTTATCAAATCATCATGGCCTATTTCAGAATAAAAATTGGCAACACAATGTCAAAATGTGTAACAATGTGAATCTCAGTCTACATAAAAGACACTAGTCATACTCACTTATTTAGAAGCCAATTCACTTAGAAGAATAAAACTCTTCCAAGGAGTTACACTGCTTTCCTATATTGCACCTCTAGAATGCAGCAAGACAGCTATTTTAAAGTCTAACAAGTTTATCAAATGATACTACTATCCTTAAATTTATACAACTAAAGGCAGGCTGACACTACGAGGAATACACACATCTCACATAAGAATACTTCAATCCAAGTCCCTAGCTCTGCTACAGACTTCAGAACCCTGCTAATACATATCCTGTGAGACAGCAATTGTTGTTCTAATATTGCCATTCCTGTCACTCACTCAAGAGACCTGGTTTTGCACAGCTCTGGATGATTTGGGCATTTGAGGAGTGAACTAGTACATGAAAAGCATCTATGTCTCTTTCTATCTCTCTGCCTTTTGAATAAATAAATCTAAGATAACTCATATAACTGAATGATGATCTTTAAGGTAACAATATCTTTTGAGCCAATGATCACAGAGTTTTAATGCAAATGAAAGCAATGGTACTCAAGGAATAAAACTCAAGGAAAGGTATGGATATAAAAATAAATGTACATGCAATTTGGTTTACTCAAGAATCTCTCTCAAAGAATATTTCCCAAATCAGTGTTATAAGCTATTGAGAAAAAAAAGTTAAACTGCACATTGATTGCATATTTAAACCACATTTTCTTAAAAAAATAATAATCTACCTTATAAATAAGAAAAAATCAAGCTCACTATAATTTCATTGACTATGATTTTTACACTGAATGACTAACAAAACGAGACCGTTCAATAGCACTTAGAAAAACTCCAGGCTTCTAGCTCTAAGTTATGTCTGCAGAGCACATTATCTCCTCATGTAAAACACATTTCATTAACAAACTCATATTTCAAACTGACCACATAAAATTGCCTCAAGGGACCCTCTAAGCTTCTCCTAAGCACAAATTCTTTCAAGTAAATCATCAGTTCCACTACTCATAACTATTATAATAATGCCCATTGCAATAAGTACAGTTGGCTAATTCTGCATTGAGAGCAATAAAACACAATTTAAACTGTATCTCAATTGTTAAATCACTTATTTTTTGGTTAAAAAAACAAGTAGGCACTCTGACAGTTAAATAGGTTCATCATCAGAGTCCAAGGCTCAAAAAAAGATTAGTATTAGCACATTTATAAAAGCACAAATCCTGATAGCTCTTTGTGGCCTAGCAGTTCAGTATATATTTATAGTAAATTTTTATAGGATACACAATTTTGATTAATGGAATTTTTTATCAATGGAATTTACTACACAATTGCAGACATATTCTTCACAAATGATCTGACACTGTAAAGAAACCCTTGTCCTCTTCAGATAAATGTTTTTCCTCATGTGAGCCCTGTCACAGGGACCTGTTCCAGGTGCATCAGTTATGAGCTCACAATTCTTCCCAGGGGACTAAGTCAGTAATTATTTTCACATTTGATCACCTTTCTGAAGATGACACTTTCTCACGTTCACCTGTGCAAGTAGCTGGATTTCTTTATGCCTCATTTTCATCATACACAAAGTAAAATCTGGGAGTCCATGTTATACTGCACAGCCCTTTAAGTTAGCATCCCATGTCAGAGCAATGCCTAAGTGTTGGCAGCCCCACTTCAATACCTGGCTTCCTGCTAATCTTTCTGGGAACAGCAGAGCACAGCCCAGGCACATGGGTTCCTGCCACTACATCAGAGACCTGGCTGAAGCTCTGCGATCCTGACTAAAGCTTGGCCAATTTAGGAAGTAAACCACTGGATGGAAGATCTCTCCCTCTATAACTTCCAAATTCATTGTAAATTTAAAAATGCATGTGTGTATTAAGTTTCATCCAATTTTATCTTGCTAAGTGCATGATTTTACCATCACAAGATAGACCCTAAACTGTAAGGATCCCCCATACTGACCTTTTAAACAACCTCTACTTTGTCCTTCAAAGTTTTGTCATTTCAAAAATGTTGTAAAAATAGAACCACACAGTAAAAGCAACCTTTTTAGATTGATGCTGTTTATCAACATATTGCCTGATGACTGAATGAAGCTTTCTTTATATTTTGGAAGCCATTCCTTGTTATCGCTGAGTAAAAACCTGTACTATGGATATCTAGATAGATCCCAGGTATCAGCTATTTGAAAAAATTTTATTCTATCCTGAATATTTATGGTTTCTATTCATACTACAGTGTGAATACAGTTTTCATTTCCTTAAATCATATGCACAGAAGAGTAATTTGTACGTACATGATAGTGCATGCCTTGTTTTAGAAGAGTAGCAAAATGTTTTCTATTGTGACTAATAATGAGTGAT